TGAAGGGTCTAGGCCCGAAACGTCAGCCTTCCTGCTCCTATGATGCTGCTTGGCCTGCTGTGTTCATTCAGCTCTACACGTTGTTATCTCAGATTTTCCAGCATCTGCAGTTCCTACTATCTCTCATTCACAAAATACTGTTTTGTTTTACTAAATAATTAAACAATGTTTCCAAATGTAATTCATATTTCAGACATTTAATGGGTCCTTCATAGTTAACCCAATCAGCTTATTGTGGAATTATGAATATCATTGAAATATAAAGGTTTAAAATTATTGCAAATGTAGCAGTGCAAAGTTTGATAGTGTCACATTGTTCAAATTCTTCAGAACATTCCTCCAGTCCCACAATTTTGACTACTGAAGTCCCAACACATTTTTCAGATACAGTAGAATGATACTGTACGAATTTCCTTTCCTGATCAGACCTTTGTTTTAATTCTGCTTCTCATGTGAGTCCACCATAAGCTGTTGCTGGCTACATTATTCTCTATGCAGTGCTGGTTACTATTGATGATGCCATTATAATAGGAGACATGGAGGTGGAACCCCATTAGTTTATTTCATTGATGTACTTAGCAATGCAGAAAATCTTGTGATGCAGTAATATTGTCCCTCCCTCTGGGTCAGAAGTTCCAACTTCAAGTCCTACCCCTGAACTTGTTGACCATGGAAGGTACGTTCATAACAAGACCAAACAGGTAGATTATCAACCTGTAAATCTTTCTAATATGTCTGATGGCAGGTTATAAGAGCAGAAGAGTGTCCTGAGCAGCCATCCTGCAGAAGGCAATGGCAAACCTCTGAAGTACTTGACCTATAAGTGTGGGCTAATCCAACAGAAGGTCCAGCCCTTGGAAACAAGGATGGGGGAAAAGACAGGCAGACTCAGTTCACAAGTGTAATTGAACTAAGCAAACATGGAAACAGGTTATCCTAATAAATGCCAAGACTGATAGTCAATGGGCTCAGGAGTGTAGGCCGTCGCTTATATGGACAGAGTGGACAAGTTTATGTTAAGAGGAAATTTATTAGATGTTGACAGGAAGTTTGGTAACCAAAGTACACAGATTTATTATAATGGGAGGATTGTTAGAATGAAAGAGCATGGTACCTGGGTAATAATAAATTCTTACTGCCTTTCATAGTATGCACATTAGCCTGTAGATTTATTAGGGCTTATTCTCCAATATGTGTTCTGATCATGGAGATATGAACCCAAGCAGCATGTTGCATGACATCATTGGCATTTAGTCCATATATTTCTGTCCATCATTGATGGAAACTTTGTACAATGGACCTGCAACATTACACATATGTCACTGAGAGCACAGGTTCATTGTTTTATTTCAGATGCTGAATGTTCACAATATTTTTCTTTTATATTAGCACAGAATCATTGATTTGCTACACATATGTAGGAAATAATTTGGATGAGGAAGAAATGGAGGCATAGTGGTTAGACTAGTAATCTAGAACCCCAGGCTAATATTCTGGAGACATTGGTTCAAATCCCATCATGGCAGATGGTATAATTTGAATTCAATAAAATCTGGAATTAAAAGCTGGTGTCAGGTCAATTATCATAAAATTCCATCTGGTTCACTGATGTTTTTTCAGAAAGGAAATCTGACATCATTACCCAGTCTGGCCTACAAGTGACTCCAGGTCCACAAGAATGTTGTTGACTCTTAACTGCCTGCTGAAATGTTAGCCTAGCCAACGATGCCCACATCCCATACAGGAATAAAGAGAAAAGAATCAATAGTTGTAAATAAGTTTCAATACAACAAAAGGGAATTTCTTACCCTGCAAATGTACTGATTTCTTTCTCCTGGAGAAAATGTTTGGGATCTTACAATCATGCTGTTCCTCACAAAATGCTTTTGCCTATTGTTCAGATTGGACTTGTCCTTAGGCCTGACAGCCATGTACTCCACCATAGCCTCCTCTGTGTTTATTTCTTTGTCGACCTGTGGAAATTGGATGCAGACATTCTATTAGCTGCACTATGAAAACTGTTCACAGGATAGTTCACTCAGCATTAATGCTGAAGTTACCCTTACTATGAGCAAGCCTAACATTGAACGATAAATAGGATAGCTCGACAAACTCAGAAAGAGCCTGGGCCAGTGTACAGAGGTAAGTTTTCCTTGATTGGAGTAACAGAGGAGGGACAGCAGTGTAAATGGCTGCGATAGGGTTAGGGCTAAGGTTAGGGTTAGTTGTGATTACAACTTAATCTGACCCCACAGTTTGCCACAGCATTGGGCTTTGAACATTCCTGGGGAAGGTGTGTACAATGTTATTGCACAGTCATGTCAGGAAGCAGTAGTTTTATAATATCAATTCATTAAATTATCCACTAGAGTCTCAAATAAAAACCATTAAAAGATAATGACAAGTCATGTAAGTGTAAGAAGCACTGATGCTGGACAGTCTAATGAAGTCTTGAGTTAGTTGGCATCCACGCTGTTGACCCATCTTCTAACATTTAGTGCCACAGGTTCAAGTCCCACATGCTAAGGAGTTGTGCATTCTCATCTCTGAATAGGCTGATTAGAAAACATCTCCAACATTTAATAGGAGACCAATCACATGCATACTTTGATTCTATCTTCACAAAGGAGGACACAATGTCCCAAAAATGTTGGGAAACACAGGGTCTAGTGAGAGGGAGGAACTGAAGGAAATCAGTATTATTAGGGAAATGGTGTTGGAGAAATTGATGGGATTAAAAGCTATTAAATTCCCAGGGCCCAAGATTGTACATCCCAGAGTACTTAAGGAAGTGGCCCTCGGAATAATGGGTGCATTGGTGGTCATCTTTCAAGATTCTATAGACGTTAATCAATGTCTTTTGGAAATTTAAATATATTAGATCTCTTGTGTTCCCTTTATCTGTCCTGTTGTTATAGTATCAATTTATATTTTGCTTCTCCCCACTCACCAACAACTATAAGCTTGCATCATTTCTGCTATTCCACACTAAAGTACGGACAGATTTATGATCGTGCTATTGTAATGGGGAGAATAAAGAATAGCTTGGCAGCCAATGTGATGACTTCCAAAACTGCACAAAATTGGGCTCCATTTTTACTGGAAGTGGGTAATAGTAAGCACTCCTACCAGCATTGGCAGCATTGTGTCTGACTCCATCACCCCACCTCTTTCGTCATCAGTCATACTTGGGGGCGTTTCTTGCAATAAAATCAATCCCGCTGCAATCTCTTCCACTTCTGACTCTTTGTTAACGCCACTTCCTCCTTCCTGTGCCTCAGCGGTATCCTCTATCAGCATTTCCCGCCTGCATTAGCAACAAATCATAAAAATCTTTCAGGACTTTATCTGTTTTCTCTGTCAATTTTTTTCAAAGTTCAAGATTTGAGTGGATAAGTGGATGAATAGTTGATGAACAGGTTAGGTATATGTGTTTAGAACAATGGGAGGGATTTCATGGATGTTATCTAAGTACAGGGGGTGAGATTACTCACTAAGAGCTGACAGGAAAGTGAGGGTGAGTACCTTGCCCTACAACAGGGTTCAAAGCCTGGAATGCTAGAGACCACTGCTGGAGACCAGAAAATTTTCTGAAGAAAGGTCCAGACCCGAAACATCAGCTTTCCTGCTCCTCTGATGCTGCCTGGCCTGCTTTGTTCCTCCAGCTCCACACCTTGTTATCTTTAGTGGTTATTAGTTGGCCTCAAGTGCATATGAGTCAAGAAAGCCCCCAATAGACCTTCTCGCCCTGCACTTAATTCCAAAGGTGGCAAGAAAAGGGCGAGTTTCTTTCCAGGGCCAACTTGCCACATTACTTCTGCTTCTTATCACCTCTCTTGCCACCATCAGGGAGGGAAAAGAAAGAACACACCCTATGCACATGTGTATTGATGGAAAATAATGATGTGATCTGCTTGAACTGAGCTCCCTGCTTCTGTGTTGTAGCTTCTGGATTTTTCTACATGTAAGATGCTAGCCGTTGTTATTAAAAGACCAATGTCCATCCCCTTGACTCATCTTGGCAGCTGCATGGTACAATAGTAATGGATTAGTTGATTAATCGTAGTATGTACCATTGCTCCTAACAATGTGGACCAATGCCATGTACAATCCACCTTCTGTTTCCCTGTGAACCTGCTGCTCTCCAAGCCTGCATTAATAGGCTGCCCAGCTGTGCCTATCTCGAGGCCTGAAACTTGCTATCATTAGTCCATGAAAAAATAACACTGCACAGTGTAACAACTGCAACATTCAAATGGTAATTGAAAGCACTCTATTAAAACAGTTGGCTTTCCAGATCCACCAATCCGTTCCACTCTCCCGCTTCCTCTGAAAAACTGACTGACTCAGCATCCCATCTGGAGAGTCACATTAGAAGAGTTCACAGATGGTGAGCTGTGGGTTGCAGCCGCTGGCTTCCATCCTCGCTGTGCCATGCTGGAGGATTACAAGGAGGTCCTCATGGCACATGCTGCCTAAGGGCCTGTGGTCCTAGGCAAAAGGTCAGTAATGTGGGCCCAAAGACCTCTGGATCCCGAGCATTCTGCCAGAATGCCATTGGAATTATGGTGGGAGTCCAGAGGAATGTGCATGGAACTCCATTGGCCCCATTCTTCCACAAACAAGAGCAGAATGCTCCATTCAGAAGGTAATCGGTCGAACATCACAGAGTCTACAATACCAGTCTTCGCCTGCTTCAGCATCCTCTTCCTCTTCAATAGCCAGTTCCTGTTCTACCGCCTGCAGTTCAACAGATGTCCTCTCCAGCAATGCAGACACAGCATCCTGCTGCATATGAAGAGAAGAAAAGCAATGGAAAATGAAAGAAGTCACTGCAGAACATGGAGAATTATTTTCTTTCATGTAGAATCTTGTACAAATATTTTGGCACAACTCACCAAAGGCAATTCACTTTCCCCTAAAGAATGCAAGTTCTCTGCCGAACATAGGTTATAATTAATTGCAGTTTCTGCCTGTGGAAATTAGTTGTGATGCTTAAATTTCAGATGCATAATTCATTAATGTCATTTGTATTTTTATCTGCAGAAACCTGCTGGGTGAATTCATCAGACAATGAGGCATTTATTTAACTGAGGTTTCACAAAGCTGTGGTCAGGCGTAAGATCAACAGTGGCTTCACAACCGCTGCGAACCTCTGCCTGAGACGTATTGACGTTAAATGTTTTGAGTGATTTCAGATTTTACTTTTTATAAACGCACGACCGACCAAGTTGGAGAGCAATAAGGCATTTGAACCGAGTGGGTTTCCCAGTGTCACTCTGTTGATCACCTACTTTTTCAAACACCCAAGGAGATCAAATCCTAAATCAGAGGGGATCTACATTCGGCAGATCTCATGACCTTGATGTTGGGACGACTTGAGAATCCAGACCCTGTCATTCTCAGCAGGGCATTCCCTTTCAATCCAATGGGTGAAAGTGGGTGAGATGCCCAATGGCAGGGCTCACAGCTGGAGCCCAGCTGGTGGGGGGGGGGGGGGGGGGGGGGGGCGGGCGGTGAGCACCGCTGAGGCAGAAGGAATGTGCGAGGGCATTTCAAAAATGGAGGTGCTATCGAAAGGCTTTAGAGAGCTGAAGGAAAGAGACGTAGAGCCGCTGGGGCCATCAGTGAGGAGGTAAAACCTGTCACAAAACTGCTGTAGGCCTGGACGTATCCCTCTGTTCTCTCACAAACAGGATGTGTCTGCAATGTTGCCACAGCAGGAGGCTGTCGCAAACTTGCTTTGCTGTGACAACATGACCCTGACATAAGGCATTCACCATGCTGATTGCCGCCTCCTCCCTGAACAAAATGTTCAAGCTCATTAATAATTTCAGCGGCAGCTCACTCCTTACAAACAGGCCGACATCAGACAGCTGCCTCAGGCTGGCTGTCCCAGTAATTTCTCAGCCCTTACAACAATACCCCCCCACAACCCTTCCTCACCAGAATCCACCTCTGCAGCCCAGGAAACCTCCCTAAATAAGTATACCTGGAAAATAAATCAAATTGTTTCTTACACATGTTTGAACCCTTACGAAGCAGTGATTACCACACCAAGAGTCAGAAATCAGTGGCTTGTAGAAGGATGATGGGCGCAAGAAGATAACAGAGGTTAAACAAACAGCTAAAGTTTATAGATTTTGCTTCACTCTTCCTATTCACGCTCAAATTAGCTACGGGGCTTAATAATGGGCTCAATTTTTATGTTTCCCTGCTGCATGTTTGAAGCCAGGAGGGGCTTGTAAAAGAAATGTAACGTGTAGTCTGCCTCCCGCCTTCCTGCACATTCCCAGCCGCCCCCGAACTGTCGACCATTTTATAGGGGTAGTGAGGCATTGGCCACCCATCCCATTCTTTGGGCTGATTGGGTAATTCTTCATTCCAACTCTGCTCTACTGTACCAGCTGCAGGATGCTTTCTGTGCCAAGCAGGATCCTGGCAGACATCATTGGCTGTTCGGGTGTTGGGCCAGTGGCGACAGCCACCTCATTTGAGAGTCGCCAGCGCTAAGCATGGGTACCTCCCTCCCTCCCCCACAGGGTCACAGCTCGCTTTAACCCTCTCGCATCCCACCCCACACCAGGCCTTTGAAACACGGCCCTACCTTCTTAAGGGCAATTAGGACATCGATAAATACTGGCCTAGACAGCAATGCCCATATCCCATGAATAGATATTAGAAAAATTTCACTCAACCCCACTGCTGGAGCGTGCTACACAGGCTTTGTTGACAGCCTGGATTTAGCTTAAGTCCAGCCTCCACGGCTTCCTCTGCTGACTGCAATCCTAGTAGTAACTAGGCTGCTCATATCCGATGGGACTAGCAAGACAGAAGTGCCCAGCAATCAGATTGACAGGTCAGTCACTAAGGTAGTTCTTGCTCCCTAGATGGGGGCAGAACTCTTGCCCTGAGCCAGTTGAGACTCTGCTTTAACAAGGTGTAGAGCTGGATGAACACAGCAGGCCAAGCAGCATCAGAGGAGCAGGAAAGCTGACGTTTCGGGTTGAGATCTCTGACACTCTGCCTTGTTTACTTCTAGTTTTTTGTGCGAATGGGAGGCGATGGCCCACTGATAATATTGCTCGACTATTAGTCCATTCAACCCAGGGAACATCCCAGGAATCCAGGATCAAATCCTGGTGGAATCTGAATTGAATAAAATAAAGAGATTCAGAGTCTAATGGCAATTATCTGAAAAACTCATCTAGTTCACTAATGTCCTTTAAGGATGAAAATTACCATCCCTACCTGGTCTGGCCTGCATGTGACTAATGACCCCCAGCAATATGATTGATTCTTAACTGCCCTCTTAGTGATAGGCAATAAATGCAGGTCTAGCCACATCCCAGGAAAGAATGATTGAAAAAGGGAACCAATCCACTGGGTTCAGATCCAAGCAATATTGACACCAAGCCTGAGTCAGCCTTGTGGCTGAACCTTACCTTGTCTGTAGTGCTGCAAGGCTGAGGTCTCAGTGAAACTTCCTCAGTTTGTGCTTTGTTCTTTGGATTATGAATGTTCATGTTCTTGTAATGTAGCATATTGTACCAGCTTGTTGAGGTGTCCCCACGGGTGGAGAAGTCTGCCAGGCTAATCTGGGTTCCAGCCTTTGGAAAATGAGAAAAGAAAGCCCTCAGTCTGCTCATTGGTTTTCAACAATTTGGTTTGTATAGAATTCCTGTGTACCACTATCACACAGGCACTTTAGATCGGAAGGAAAGAGTTGCGTTTTTGTTGTGCCTTAGCATGCCTCTTAGAAAAGCCTCAGAAGAATTACTCTGAAACACACTGGTCCGGGTTCAGTGATTGTAATAACTGTGAAACTGTCTGGATTCAAGTGGAAATCATTACATTGTTGGCAGAGATACATCACTTTGCCCACAGGGTGGACTGGTGAAGTTCCCTTACTCCATAACTATAATTAAGTAGAAATCACTGAGCTGGTGAGAAACTGCCCCTTTTCATAATTACTTTAAATGTAAAAGCTCTGGAAACAGATGATATTCTACTGAATGGAGTGTAACTGGGTTTTTAATGGCCTACTGAAAGCCAAAGTCTGGCTGTACTTAGAACTGATGAGTCACTACAACCAAATGAGGTGCATTGAGGATATTGAGGGAAGTAAAACAGTGAAAATTCTGCAGGCAGCAGCCAAAATCTACCATATTTTACTCAGACACAGGGGTGGTGTAAAAGGACTCGAACATTGCAGAGGTTAACATAATTGCTCTAAAAAGGATTAAGAAAAAACCTAGTTATGCCTCATTTTTGCTCTGAACAGGCAGAGTGTGACAGTTGAGCCCACTGATCTCAACAGCACAGCATAGGCATCCAGTGGGCTCAGCAATTGGTCAGCTGGTCAGAAAACGCACCTCAGTTCTTGTTTTAGAATCTGTTTCCTCTACCTGCCCTCACTCCCTCCTCATTCTCTCACATACATCATCATGTCTCTTTCATACCAGTCCATGCACCCACTCAACCTCACGCACCCCCACACCCTCTGGTTATCTCCATAGTCACTCATTATCTACTGTAGGCAGACCGCAGGTGAAATGTTCAGGTGTAAAATAAAACTTCTAACATAACTAACACTCATACTCACGTACAGTGAAAAACAAACCCACTCCAAGTTTTAAAATTCCTTCAAGTGTTCAATATGGCATAAAAATACATTTCTATTCAGACTACTTATCTAAGAAAGCTATTCCCTGTGTAGCCTGCTTAAAATGTCAATTAAACTACTCACAACTCCCTGCTGAGATCATTGAAGTCTACAGAACTCAGCTAAGTATTTATAATGACTTAATAATAGCCGTTGAGGAAACAACAGAAAAGACCTCAACTGGAACTGTTTGACAAGATGTCGTTGTCTTTTTCCTGATGTACGCAAAATGATCTGTCAATCAAAGCAGAGGTGTTTTTTTTAAACCCCCACTGACAGCTGCAGCTGGTTTATAAACAGTTAAAGAGCAGTGGAATTTAAAAACTTAAGATTGTGGCACTTAAACTGATCTCATCCAGCCTTGAAGAACATTTATGCCTACTTCATCAATTCATGACTCCTATACTGTGGGTTCGGCACTTGCAACAGTAAACATTGTCTGTTTGAGTTTAGCGCTAAGTTCAAATGGTCCTCCTGAGTTTGTTTCCTTCTTGGGTGAAATCATGTCAAATCTCTGACCCCTTTCAGCAGAAATTGGAATCTTCCAAACTCCACATTTTAAGCAGGCTACACAGGGAATAGCTTTCTTTGATAAAAATAGAAATGTATTTTTATGCCATGTTGAACACTTTAAGGCATTTTAAAACTTAGAATGGGTTTGTTTTTCACTACTATGTGAGTATGAGTGTTAGTTGTGTTAGAAGTTTTTTTTTCACCTGAACATTTCACCTGCGGTCTTCCTACAGTGGTGGTGAGTGACTATGGAGATGGCCTGAGGGTGCAGGGATGCGCGAGGTTGAGTGGGTGCATGGATTGGCATAAAAGAGACATGATGATGTATGTGAAACTCTAGCTCCAACTGTCCACTATCTCTTAGATTGCTACATAATCTTTCCAGGACTTAGCCTTCAAACAATTTTTCCTTATTTAAGGACTGTAAAATAATATTTATAAAGCTTCAGCTCACTTACCAGACAATCTTCCAACAGTGTCTTCCCCACAGAGCAAACGTCAACTCGCAGTGTCTTCTGATGTAAAGCAGCTTGGGTAATAGCTACCCTGAAAACCTCATTGAGGGTAAGAATCTCTGCAACACAATGAACCTTTGTGCGGAATAGACTGCTGGAATCACATGAGCTTGGAAGCAATGCAGCTCTGATGTATCTGCAAGATTGCAAGGCTAACTTTTACACAATGGACTGAAATAGTTAAAGATTGAATAAGCAGCAACAGCATAGTTCAGCACATTTTCTTTTCATTCATGTGATAAGGTGTTGTTACCTAGACTAGAATTTATTACCCATCCCCAATTGCCTAGAGGACAGTAAAGATTCAACCACATTGCTGTCAGCCTGGAGTCACATGTAGTCTGGACCAACTAGGGTTCCTTCCCTAAATCCTTTATTCATTAACGGGATGAGGGCGTCGCTGGCTAGGCAGCATTTGTTGCCCGTTCTTAATTGCCCAGAAGGCATTTCAGAGTCAACCACTTTGCTGTGGGTCTGGGGTCACATGTAGGCCAGACCAGGTAAGGATGGTAGTTTCCTTCTCTGAAGTCCATTAGTGAACCAGATGGGTTTTTCCCAACAATCATGGTCATCATTAGATTTTTAATTCCAGATATTTGATTGAATTCAAATTCCACTATCTGCCTTGGCAGGATTTGAACCCAGGTCCCCAGAATGTTATCTGGCTGTCAGCAATAATACCACTAGGCCGTTGCCTCCCCCATGTGACATAGTGAACCAGGTGGACAATTGACAGTGGTTACATCAGCTTACCTTATTCAGTTTGTTAAACTGAGATTTTTAGTAAATTCAAATTTCACCATCTGCTACAATGGAATTCAAAGTCCTGAGAACACTAGCCTCGGGTTCTGGATTGCTAGTCCAGAGATTTTAGCATTACACAAACACCTTCCCTATATGTCAATGAAGCAGCTACGTGGGAAATGCACAAATCTTTTCCATTTCTGATAAAAGCATTTACTCTCCCGACTGCTGAAAGGATTCAATGACTATTTGTTGAGCAAATTTGCAGATGACACCAAGATTGGTAGAGTGGTAATACCAAAGAAGATGGTTGTAGATTATAGGAAGATATTGATGCGTTGGTCAGATAGGCACACCAATAGCAGACAGAATCTAACCCTGATAAAGTGCACGGTGATGCACTTTGCAAGAAGATAAAAGATGAGGGAGTATTTAATGAATGGCAGGGCACTGAGTAGCTCAAAGAAACAGACAGATCTTGGGGTAATTATTCACAGATCCCTGAAGTCAGCAGAGCATATGAATAGAAATAGTTATGATGGTATATGGGATACTTAATTTCATCTGTAATGGCATAGAGTATAAGAACAAGGAGGTACTGTTGGAGTTGTACAGAGCTTTGGTTAGGCCACAGCTGGAGTACTGTGTGCAGTTCTGATCACCTACTACAGGAAGGATGTGGTAGCACCAGACAGGGTACAGAGTAGGTTCACCAGGATGTTGGCCGAGACGGAGAAATTGAGCTGTAAGAAGAGACTAGATAGGCTTGGCTTGTTTTCTTTACAGCAGGGAAGGCTGAGGCGTCATAATTGAGATGTATAGGATTATAAGGGGCATGGACAGGGTGACTAGGAGGAGTTGTTCCACTTGGTTGAGAGGTCAGTCACAAGAGGGCATAGTTTTGGGGTAAGGGGCAGAAGATTCAGAGGGCTTTGGGAAAAAAAATTCACTCAGCAGGTGGTGGAATCTGGAATGCACTGCCTGGGAAAAAAGTGGGGGCAGGAAACCTTATAACCTTTTGGATAAGTACTTCAAATATAACACTCAAGGATATGGGACAAATGCAAGAAATTGAGATTAGTGTACTTTTAGTGGTAGTGTCAGTACAGACTCGATGGGTCGAAGGGCTTTTTCTGCACTGTATGAATCAATGAATCTATGTGGTATAGAGTTCAACAGATGTGTTTACCCTCTGGTACCACATCGTATTCAGCGAATGAAAATCCCTGGATGTATGAGTTAGTCTCCTCAGTAGCTGAGTTTAAGCTGATCTATCCAATACTTAGTCTGTGGAGGGGATACGCCTTGAAAGTGTGCAGCATTGTTTGTGCCTCTCCATAAATACATAAAGGGCTTGTACTGAGGCCACGAGGTGGAGTGGTTGATCGCACAAGGGCCTTAGCCTGTCCTGACCCTGTCTAGCAAGGACCAGTTTTGCTGTGGCTGTTTAAAGCCTGCCATTCAGTAGATGGCAGCTTATCCCAGGAAACTTTGAGGACAGAGGATCAGTGAATTGATAAGTAGGAATGATGACTGGAAAAGTGTTCAGGCTCTGATGCGGTAGATAGGGTAGGTGCGGAAAGGTTGTTTCCCCTTGTGGGTGAGTCTAGGACCAGAAGGCATCATCTCAGAATAAAGAGTCACACATTTGAATCAGAGAGGAGGAGGAATTTCTTCTCCCAGAAGGTAGAGAATCGGTGGTATTCTTTTCCACAGAGGGCTGTGGAGGGTGGATCATTAAGTATATTCAAGGCTGAAATAGGCAGATTTTTAATCAATAAGGGAACCCAAAGTCATGGGGAAAAGGCAGGAAAATGGAGTTCAGGTTTATCAGATAAGCCATTGAATGGCAGAGCAGATTCGATGGGCTGAAATGCCCACTTCTGCTCCTATGTCTTATCAGATCTACTGAGTATTTCCTAAATATTTCAGATCTCCAGCATTCAGAATCTTTTGCTCTCCTTGTCATCGTGAATGGTACATTACTTTACAGCGACCAGAGTTTGAGTCTTGAACAGATGAGCGAACAAGAGTCAATGGTGAAAAGGAAGAGCCCCAAGGTCAGAGTTCATATCAGATTCAGACCAGGATAAAATGTGACTCAAGCTAACAGAAACGTCAGAAGCCAGGAAACCATTACAGTTAGGAGTTGAGGGTACAAATGTCAGGATTTGAATATTCATTCTCAGGATGTACATGTTACTAGCAAACATTTGAACTGATACAGCAGGTGTAATGAGGATGCTCCCTCAATGTTATTAGCCTAGAAGGTCCACAATTTTTATCCAAAGCAATTGAGGAATGTTAACAGAGCAAAATATTATCACCTCTTGGTCCACTGAACATTTCCAAAGGAAGAGTGTGCCATTAGACAGCTCTAAAGAAATGAGACCACTTAGAGATAATCTTGCTGTGTGTTTGACTTTTTTGATCATTAGATTCATGGGATTGGTTTTGGGACTAAGTTTGAAAGAGGAAATGTTGAGTGAGGAGAAATCCGCAGCCCACCTTGTTCACAAGGCCCATTGTATCAAACTTCAAACTCGCAGCTGATGGGCTGCTGGTGGGCTTTCTGCTGGAAATTCAGACCAGCAAGCCCCAACCTCCTGGGCCTGCTAGCCAATCAGAGGCCAGGTATCACCAGATTTCAGCAACTCCATGGCAAAGGAGCTGAGCTGATTGTAGCCCAAGTGGAATGAGGCCCTTTAGTGGTCATCAACAATTTATGGGCTTTAACTGGCAGCAGATCAGGAAGGTTGACTGGGGGTTTTCCCACCTAATTTCCAAGGTACTGGAAAGAGGTCTCTGATCTCCATGATTATCTGCCCTACCCGTCACCTTCCCCATCTCTTTGGGGAGGGGAGATTCCGCCCACAGAGGCATTTACAAGCACAGAAGGAGGTCATTTGGCCAATCTAACTTCATGCTGGCACTTTGTGGAGTAACCCAGCCAGGCACATTCACCCACTTGATTTTGCTAGGCATGAAAATCTATTTTGTTTGCGTGCCCATTCAGATTCCTTTTGAAATGACTCATCACCTTTGCTTCCATCGGCAATAGTTGCTAGGTCATGACCACCTGCTGTGTAAAGCTTAGATCTGTTTCCCCACATCCTTGTACTAACTGTTAGAGGGAATAGCTTACCTAACCTTGTCATAATCTGTACACCCTTATGAAATCTCCCCATAATATCCATTGCCCTGAAGAGAACAATCTCAGGTTCTCACTCCTAACCATTGCTGAATGTTGATAGCTCCACCTAAGAATGGACATGTTGGTTTTCATGAACAGCATACTCACACTTTACATCCGGGTGGCACAAGGAGAGCTGTCACATTCCTCAGCTGCACGGCGATTATGATAAAACTTGCACTGGTGGGATCATACCTGCCACAGATGCAGTAACAAAAATGAAGATGCAGATCAAAATTTTTTTGGATCATGTCTTGTGGATATGTTATGACATACTTCCGTGTCAGGTGGGACTCAAATCCATGTTTCTGGCCCAGAGATAGGAGCTCCTCACAGCTCCACAGGAACTGCCCCCCACCCCACCCTCACAACATGCAATTACATTGGACGCAGAAATATTCCAAGTTTTATTTCTGCCCAATGCTGATTCAATTCATGTCATGTTCCTTCAATCACCCTCAATGACCCTAGATTAAGGAGGTAAATATTTTCCTATTCATTCTTGGCAATGTGGACATCACTGGCAAGGTCAGTGCTTATTCACCATTGCTTATCGCTATTAAGAAGGTGGCAGTGAGCTGTCTTCTTGAACTGCAGCTGTTTATATGGTGTAGATACACTCAAGGCACTGACTTTGTGATTTCACCTTGATCCAACTCAGTGGCTTGTTTGGCCATTTCAGAAGTGCAGTCTGGAGTCCCATGAAGGGCTGAATAGACTGGATCCAGGGATAAAGTTCTCTCCTGGTTATTGGGTCCAGATCAAAGGCTCACAGGGTAAGCAATTTTAGACTGAGGTGCGGAGAAATGTCTTCTCTCAGAAGGTGGTGAACCAGTGGAATCCTCTACCATGGAAGGCTGTGGAGGCCAAGTACTGAATATATTTAAGGAATAAATAGATACATTTCTCAAGGCTAAAGATGCCAAGGCTTATGGGGAGAGAGTGGAAGTATGGCATTGACTGAGAGAATTATTCATTATCATGTTGAGTGGTAGGGCTTGGTCAATGGGCTGAATGGTCTACTCCTGCTCCAATTTTCTATACTTCTAGGATGGACCAGGTAAGGACAGTAGACTTCTTTCCCGGAAGGATTTTTTAAAAAATTACTAATGGGATACAGGCATCGCTGGCTGGGCTGGCATTTATTGCCCATCCCTAATTGCCCAGAGGGTAATTAAAAGTCAGCCAAATTGCTGTGGGTCTGGAGTCACATGTAGACCAGACCAGGTAAAGATGGCAGATTTCTTTCCCGAAACACTATTGTGAATGTGATGGGTTTTTACAACAATCTGGTGATTTTGTGTTAATTATTTATAAGACTAGGATTTGATTCCAAATTTATTAATTAATTCAATTTAAATCTCCCCATTTGCCACAGTGGGATTAGAACTCATGTCACTGGGGCATCAACAAAGACGTCCTCTAATCATCATTTTCCATCGCTCTGAAAGTGCAGTTGTATACGAAACAATAAAAATAGGAATTGCCAAGAAACTCAGCAAATCTGCAATATCTTAAAGAAAAATAAAATTAATCTTTCGAATCCAGTGATTCTTCTTCAGAAAGCAACAGCTTGGATTTGTACAGCACGTTTAATGTAGAAAATAGAGACAAACGTATTGAGTTCAGCTGTGATAGCCCAGTCCCAGAGTTTAACAGGCCTCAGTGTACACTCTCTATGTGCACAATTAATGGTGGATGACTTGGATAATTTACTATTGGGTTGGTGGAACTGTACCTGAGCAAGAGCTCAGTGGTCCACAGGAGATCAGGAGGGAAGGGGATAAAAGGAAAAAAGAAATTCAGACTCATAAATTCAGCCATGCATATTTAGTTTTTTTTTTAATAATCACTTACTTCAGTCCTATCTGGATTTGAGCTGCCTCTAATGTGGAAGGTTCATCCTCATCATAAATGGCATCTTCCCTTTCATTTGGCCTAACAGCAATGTTGTAAAATTCAAGTTAATGGAAATTGTAAACTAAGCAATAATGAAGACGAGAGCTGGGAACAATAAAAAAGCCAACATAAAAAACATGACAAATTTACCCAGAGAATATGTCAAAGCCATGTGTAAGTTATGGTTATGGACTTGGTTTGTAAAAAGCACACAGGCATTCTGTTTAAGACATTCTGCTACACTTACTGGAGGCATGGAGAAGCTACAATGAGTGTTGTAGATGTGGAAAACACAATACTTGTAATAAAAGAATAAAGTTCATGTTTCCATACCTCCAATTAGGAGCATGCTGATAATAAGTACAGATTGTAGAATTGGGCTGACAATATTGTAGCCTTTGTGCTGACTCACACTCCTCTTCAATATCCTCCTTGCTGGTGCTTTAGGACGATGGGATTAACCCTTTACAGTTGCTTAGCCACTAAAATGAAGCAATTAGCACTCCTCCCTCACAGACTGTCCGCTGTGTTTCTGATCCAGACCAGGAAACTTGCAGCAAGTGATCCCAGGGAACTTATGGACATTAGGTGAGAACAGTGTCACACTCAGCTGAGACCTGCCTCAACAGCTTCCACCAACCGAAGGTGGAATTTTCCACTGAAGCCATTTCAATGCTCGTGCAGGTACAGAGTGAAACTTGTACCTTTCCTGCAAGTTTTGGAATTACTGCTTTGGCAGGACATGCTGCCATTGTGATTTCCATCACAAAGGGCCAAGTTGAGAGAGGAAGATGTGGCTTTGCTGCAGTACAGTGGCCACTTTTACATCATCCATAAAGGCCCGATAGATTTTTGTGTCAGATGTGGGAAAATTAGGCTCCAGTGAGCTGTGGGGAGAAGGAAATGATGGGCCTGAAGGAACTGAGAGGAGTCATTAACATAACCTCATTATGTCCTTGCCTGACAATATCAAGTGCTGAGCTAAAGAAGCTTCTCAGAGGTATATTAGCAACTGCTGGATTACAGCTATGTTTTTGGTGGCCCACAATAGGAAGTCAGCATCCAACAGAGGATTTCCAACCTCTTAATGCTGACTCAGGTAAAAGGAGGAGGGTGGGGTAAGGCATATGTGAAGCATAAACACCACCGTAGTCCAGAACAAAAACAGAAGTTGCTGGAAAAACTCAGCAGGTCTGGCACCATCTGTGAAGAAAAAAATCAAGGTTAACGTTTCAGGTCTGCTGACATTTTCTTCACAGATGCTGCCAGATTTGCTGAGCTTTTCCAGCAACTTCTGTTTCTGTTTCTGATTTACAGCATCTGCAGTTCTTTTGGTTTTTACCAGCATTAACCAGCTGGGCTGAGTGGCCTGTTTCTATTTTACGTGTTTCTATTTAATAAAGCAGTAGAGAGAGGGGACACAGTGAAAAAGAGCATGGAGTGATTTTGGTTGTGCAGTTGCCCTAGATCTTCCAGGCTGAGTGGCTTAACATTGTCTCCTGGATAGAACATGCATAAACCACTGACTTCTCTCTCAATTTCTATCACGTCTGTATGTTGCTGCCAGAAAGAACAACTGATTCTTTTCACATTTGTGCAATGTAGAGATGTGGAGACAATAAGGACTGCAGATGCTGGAAGCCAGAGTCTATAGGTGTGAGGGGCTGGCAAAGCACAGTAGGTCAGACAGCATCCGAGGAGCAGGAAAGTCAACGTTTTGGGCCGAACCCCTTCATCAGGACTGTTAAACACGGGATATTATTCATGTACCGTTTGACAGAAGCTTCATACACCCCGCTGTCCCCGGCCACAGATTCATCAGAAACGGCAGCAGAGACACATGCTGCTTTCTCTTCGACACCATGTCCCACTGCTCCTCCCTGTAAATCAACACCTGCACAGAGAACACACAAGAGCTCGTCAACCTCATGGTCGGAATTCCTTCAGCAGGGGCGGGGAACGGGGTAGGGATTTTTCAGCTCATCGCCACCTTCATTTTTCCCTCATTCCCCCTCCCACCTAATTTCACCTTTTCTCACCAGGAAGTCTGAACTTTTGTTGGAGGTATTTGCAATGGTTGTGATTTGCAATTGCTGACTTTCCCCTTTCTCATTGACACCAAAACCCTTTGATAAATTTCCTTGACTCAGCCGGGTAGACTAGTGACTGAGTCTAAAATTTTGATGGCTTAAATAATGTCCCCACAAAAATATGATGTGGGGGAACCTTCATTTAATGCTTCTCTAAATAGTACACTGCAAATTGTGTGCACAGAGGACTCTGCAATGTCTCACTGGATGAGAAAACTGTTACTCTTCACTCAGGTAGTGAGCCTCACTATTCCAAAAGTCATCAGAAAAGTTAAAGATTTTAAAAAGTACACAGACTTTCCCAATTTATCCTCTTTCAGACCCGGGTACAAAACTCTGGTGCGGCCGCACTTGGAGTATTGCGTACAGTTCTGGTCACCGCATTATAGGAAGGATGTGGAAGCATTGGAAAGGGTGCAGAGGAGATTTACCAGGATGTTGCCTGGTATGGAGGGAAGGTCTTATGAGGAAAGGCTGAGGGTCTTGTGGCTGTTTTCGTTAGAGAGAAGAAGGTTAAGAGGTGACTTGATAGAGACATACAAGATGATCAGAGGATTAGATAGGGTGGACAGTGGGAGCCTTTTTCCTCGGATGGCGATGGCTAGCACGAGGGGACATAGCTTTAAATTGAGGGGTGATAGATATAGGACAGATGTCAGAGGTAGGTTCTTTACTCAGAGAGTAGTAAGGGCGTGGAATGCCCTGCCTGCAAAAATAGTAGACTTGCCCACTTTAAGGGCATTTAAATGGTCATTGGATAAACATATGGATGATAATGGAATAGTTTAGGTTAGATGGGCTTCAGATTGGTTTCACAGGTCAGCGCAACATCGAGGGCCGAAGGGCCTGTACTGCGCTGTAATGTTCTATGTTCTATGTTCTAAAACACAGACTGCATCTCTGTACTTAACAAGAATTACTATTTATCCTGCAACAAAAAGGGTTCTAACTACAGATTAACAATTGTGAACTATCGGCATATAACCCTACTGGTTAAAAATCTAAACCCCTTCTCAATTGCCCCTCTCCGCACACCTACAGACAGACACAGACAGGAAAAGAATGGGTATTATGGGTGGAGGGAAAGACAGGGAAAGCAGCTCAGTGATCCCTGTCCACAGGATTTGGTGAGATGAATCTTGCGCTGATCAGAATGCTACTTCTTGATCTTTCTTCTCTGTATATTTTGATATGTTTGCAGGAAGCACAGGGTGATTGGCTCACACGAATAAAGACCTCTGACTTAGTACTTAAAAGTCACAGTTTTCAACAACTGTTGAAGAAAAAGCACACTGGTTTTCTTCAGGCTTAAAGTGATGATCTGATGGCTTCTCCCTCTCTCATTCCCAGCCCCAAATTGTTCAGCTACTTGCAAGCCAAATGAATAGTTGCTGGCACGCAGAAGGCCTTTATCAGCTATAACTGGTCACTAGTTCATAGACCACTCCGTTTCCTGTTGCCAGCTGAATCTCCATTTATACAGAGCCCTTGGCTCTCATCCCCCTGCAAAACATCTATGACAGATTCTTCAACCAGCAGCTGTGTAAACAGCACTTATAATGAGTAGCAGGTTACCTGCTTTCAAAAAGTGATGCCTCAGCAATACATGTTTTTCAAAACAGTTCTTTTTGCCTTTTAGTCCATAATCAAAAACAGAAAAATAAAAAGCTACAGGCTTCACAAAATGAGAAAATGGAGAATGGGACTAATTTCAAATGTGCCAAATGGATTCCTTCCGCGCTATATAGAATCAGAGGGGTGAATTTTACACAGTCCTCTGAAGATAGCCTGTTGAGACCTAAACTGGCTAACGAATGGTCACCTAAGGATCTCAACCTGCCTCTGCTTCAATAATATGTGTGGTAGACGGAAGGCAGCCAGCACGGCACCTTTCAGTTAATGGAGAGAAGGAATTGTGGGTACCTCCCCAGTGTCCAGCAGAAGTACATCCCACTGCCCCCTCCCAAAACAGTGCACCTGCCTTTTATGCCCACATTGCCACCACCACCGCATTCAAATCCACAACCATTTCCACTTAGAAGAACAAGGGCAGCAGATATTTGAGAACATCACCACCTGCAAGTTCTCCTCCAAGTCACTCACCATCCTGACTTGGAAATATATCGCCGTTCCTTCACTGTCACTGGGTTACAATCATGGAATTCTCTCCCTAACATCAGTGTGGGTCAACCTACAGCACATGGATTGCAGCAGTTCAAGATAGCAGCTCACCACGACCATGTCTCCACAGATGCCGCCAGAAAGGTGCAGGTGCAAGGTTCCTTGAAAGTGGAGTCGCAGGTAGACAGGGTGGTGAAGAAGGCATTAGGTGTGCTTGTCTTCAATGGTCAGAACACTTGAGTACAGGAGTTGGGATGTCATGTTGTGGTTGTACAGGACATTGGTGAGGCCACTTTTAGAACACTGCATACAATTCTGGTTGCTCTTCTATAGGAACAATGTTGTTAAACTTTATTCATTCACAGGATGAGGGTGTCGCTGACCTAGCAGCATTCATTGCCCATCCCTAATTGCCCAGAGGGCACTTAAGAGTCAACCACATTGCTGTGGGTCTGGGTCACATGTAGGCCAGACTAGGTAAGGATGGCAGTTTCCTTCCCCAAACGGCATTAGCAAACCAGATGGGTTTTTCCAACAATCGATAATGGACTCACGGTTGTCCTTAGATTCTTAATTCCAGATATTTATTGAATTCAAATTCCACCATCTGCTGTGGCAGGACTCGAACCCGGGTCCCCAGAACATTGTCCGGGTCTCTGGATTAACAGTTCAGCGATAATACCACTAGGCCATTGCCTCCCCTCTTGAGAGGGTGCTTAAAAGATTTACAAGGATGTTGCTGGAACTGTAGGATTTGAGCCTAAAGGGGGATGCTGAATACGGTGGGGCTATTTTCCCTGGAGGTCCAGAGGCTGAGAGGTGACCTTATAGAGGTTTATAAAATCATGAGGGGCATGGATAGTGTGAATAGTCAGGTCTTTTCCCCAGGGTAGGGGAGTCCAAAACTAGAGGGCATAGGTTTAAGATGAGAGGGGAAAGATTTAAAAGGGACGTAAGGGGCAACATGTTCACACAGAGGGTGGTGCGTGTATGGAATGAGCTGCCAGAGGAAATGGTGGAGGTGGGTACAATTACAAAACTTAAAAGGTATCTGGATGGGTATTGGAATAGGAAGCGTTTAGAGAGATATGGGCCAAATGCTGGCAAATGGGACTAGATTAATTTAGGATATCTGGTCGGTGCAGAGGGTCTGTTTCCATGCTGTATGACTCTATGACTGTGTCTGCTGCTTTTCTTCAACAATTTCTGATTTTGTTCCCAGGGCATTAGCCTGGGCTTCTAAATTACCAGTGCAGGTACATGCACTATCTCCTCCAAGGGAGGAACGTGGACTGTATAGAGATATAGACATAGGCATTGCACTGAGTGCCAGATAGAGTACAGTGCTGGGGAGGTTTGAGGTCATTCATTTTAATAGTAAGAAGAAAAGGTTGAACAGTTTTTTAAAGGTGGGAAACTTGTAAATGTTTATGTTCAGGGAGAGTTGGGAGTACTCCTGAGAAGGAGCAGAGAAAGTTATTACGTAGGTACAGCAGCCAAATAGGAAGGCAAATATCACGTTGGACTTTATTGCAAGGGACCTGGTGTACAAGGAGAAAGGTTTGTTGCAACTGCAAGGAAATTTGGTGAGACTACATCTGCAGTACTGTGTGCACGTTCGATCCCCATATCAAAGGAAGCATATACACGTTTTAGATTGGAACAGTGAAGGTTTGGTAGATTAGTTCCTGAGATGAGTAGGCTATGCTATGATGAGAGGCTGAATAAATTAGGCCGACACTTTCTGGGGTTTAGAGGAATGCACTTTAAAGATTTTGCAGCGAGTTGACAAGGCAGACATTGACAGGTTGTTTCCCCTGGTTGGAGATTCTAAAAGACAGAGGATAGGAGTTGATTATTTGGGACTGAAAGGATGAGAAAGTTCTTCACTCAGTGAGTTGTCAATCTTTAGGAATTCATCACCCCTGGGCCTTGTGGATGCTCCATCGTTGACAATATTCAAGGCTGGAGCAGACAAGACGATTGATCTTTCAGGATCAGGAGAGGGATAGTTGATGGAGAAAATCAGCCATGATTGGTTGAATGGTAGGGAAGGCTCAAGGGGCAGTGTATCCATTCTGCTCTTATTGCTTATGTTCTTGTAACAACAATCACTGGATCATTGAAAGTAATGCATTGTACGTGAAACATTCTGAGGAGTGCGATATAAATGTAAATTTCTTTTTATTTCACTTACTGATTTTTCTTTTCTTCTTTTTATTTGTCACTCTCTTTGTTTTACTTGTGTCTTTTAAACTTCATCATTGTGTAAAAGTAGTGGTTTTACATTTGTCAAACTTGGTTTCTCCGAAATGCTTAACTCTCCTCCGAAAGCATCAGAGTTTCACAAAGAAATTTCCAAAGGTGTCGCCCTATGACATCGAGGGTTATTCATCTCACCAGGCCATTTGACCCATTGATTCTCTGCCAGTTTCCCATGGAGGAATCCAGTCAGCCCAACTCCTCCAACACAGCCCAATCCTTCACGTAAGCCAATCTTCCATTCACTGACTCTATCTATCCTTCGCACAGCCTCAGGAAGGCAGCCAACCTCATCAAAGACCTCTCCCACCCCGTTTATAATCTCTTCCAACCTCTTCCACAGGGCAGAGGATACAAAAGCTTAAACACACGCACCAACAGATTCAAGAACGTCTTCTTCCCCGCTGCTATCACACGTTTG